CGCGCACACAGGCACGCGCGGACACAGGCACGCGCCGCGGGCGGGGCGGAGTCCGCAGGCCGGGCCGCGAGGCGGGAGTGGTGGGCTCTACCGCATCAGTGGCAGGGACCGGCCACGGCTGGGCCGCTCTGCAGCGCAGGGTCACGGCTGCGTCGCTGGGGGTCGGAGAGCACCAGGTCGGGCTAGGCAGCCGCAATGGGCCCGGAATCCAGATCCAGGTTCCAGATACTTCCTCGGCCCGGACTGAGTACGCTCGGCATGCCGGAGGCTGACCTGGAGGGTGGAGAGCTGAGAGTGGTTAGGCCCAGGTTGAGAAGGGGGAGCCAGCCGCGGCCCTGGCCGCCCTCAACTGCAGAGCCCCCGAATCTCCTGTCCCCTAGAAGGACACTCGCGAAGTGGTTGCCATTAAGTGTGTGGCGAAGAAAAGTCTAAACAAGGCCTCAGTGGAAAACCTCCTAACCGAGATCCAGATCCTTAAGGACATCCGACACCCCCACATCGTGCAGCTGAAAGACTTCCAGGTACAACCTGGGCTGGGACTCCCCCGAAGGGGGCAGAAGGCAGGGCGCAGGGACCCACGCCTGTCATCCTGGCTACCCAGGAGGCTGAGATCCGAGGATCACAGTTTGAAGTCAGTGCTTGAGCAAGCTCTTATCTCCAATTAGCCATCGAAAAGCTGAACGTGGAGCTGTGGCTCAAGCGCTAGAGCACTAGCCCTGAATGAAAAAGCTTAGGGACAGCACCTGGGCCCTGAGTTCAGGCTTCAGTACTGGCACAAAAAGGAAGCAGAGGCCAGGTGCTGGTGTTCACACCTGTAATTCTAGCTAGCAGGAGGCTGAGATCAGAGCATGACGGTTCAAAGCCAGCCCGGGCAAGAAAGGCTGTGAGATTTTTACCTCCAATTAACCACCAGAAAACCGGAAGTGGTGCTGTGGTCCAAGTGGTAGAGCACTTGCCTTGAGCTGAAAAGCTCAGGGACAGAGCCCAGGCCCAGAGTTCAAGCCCCACGATAGGAGGAAAAAAAAAACGGGGGGGAGGGGGGACTGGAGAAAGAAAAGACACTGTCTTCTGATCTCTTCTCTACCTCTAACCACAGTGGGACAGTGACAACATCTACCTCATCATGGAGTTCTGTGCTGGAGGTGACCTGTCTCGCTTCATCCATACTCGCAGGATTCTGCCTGAGAAGGTGGCCCGAGTCTTCATGCAGCAGTTGGGTAAAAAGCCTCAGATCCAAACTTGAGATCCTTACTGTCTTCTCTGGTCTTTGTTTTTTTTGGGGGTCTGGTCGTGGGCCCTGAACTCTGGGCCTGGGCGCTGTCCCTCAGCTCTTCAGCTCAAGGCTAGCGCTCTACCACTTGAGCCACAGCAC